AACCATGCGATTCCAACGCGGGCTATTCGCAACGTCTGTTAAGGCACGTTAACAACTGACAAGCCGCCACCGCTGCCACTTATTCATAGATGGTTGATATCGCAGCTTGGGCGTCAGCAGCGCGGCCCACAACGCGTCGGCGCCAGCGCACGCAGCTGTTGGCACTCGGCAGCCGGTGTTGCGACTTAACGGCCGGCCAGCCCCATGAAGGAGAAGCTCTTGGTGAAGCTTTGTGATCGCCTCATAGCCGCCTTGGATGTCATCTTTCTTGGCAGATCCATCCGTTCAGATGGTACGGTGCAGTCTGGATAAAGGACGAAGTCCAAACGCCGCTAACCCCGCGACCGCCACCCCACAACGTGGCCGCAGACCGAACGGGCGTGAGGGCCGTAAGGGCCACCCCGCCATCCGGTAGGTGGCTGAGCAGCCGGGCGCAGCGGCGCCTGGGCGGCGGCCGCGCTGAGATGAAGTCCCAAACCGCCATGTCGCCATCACCGCCATCACCATTGCTGCAGCTGTTCCCAACCGCCTCAATCGCCGCCGTTTTGCCAGCAGTCGCGCCGCGGAATGGCAGAAGCTCCAGAGTAGCCTCCAGCGCCCCTCTCCGCACGTGTGCAGGTGCACTGCGGCCGCCGGGTCCGACGTCCAGGCAGAACATGATATTTCCATGCTGCTCCGACGGTGGGCTGGTCTGTTTGGGCGTTCCTCCACTGTGACGTCGGTCACGCCTGCCCCGGCCAGGGCGCAGAGGCCGACGTGTCACCATCCGGTTGCAGTCCTCAGTCGGGTCGCAACGTGTACCTCTTCCGCAGCGTGGAGCGCGCTCCCGCTGGGCAGCGATACAGCCAAAAGTAGCATAGCATGCGGGCGGCCAGCGCTGCGCCGGACAGCGGACCCATGCCGGGGGTATGCCGGTCTCGGCCATTAGCGGGGTCGTCGGGGCCGAGGCTGTACATACAGCTGGTGACCGCGTGAGCCGCCAATCGAAGCTCACGGCTTATAAGCTCGACGCGGGCATCACACGCCGTCCCGATGGGAGCTCCACGACGCCGCCGCGAACTCCAGCGCGGCTCGCAGCGCGAAGACCAGTACGGACGGCCGGGGCGAACGGCGTGCGGGAGTCGCAAGCGACGTTCTGCGGACAGAAAGGGTTGGGCATAAGCTGGTCGGCAGGACACTCTTGAGCGAGCCTTTGATGTAATTACAGATGATCCAGAGCATGCACAAAAATTCATGACACACTATTCTCATTTATGTATTTGCTACATATGATATGATATACCAGCTCATGATCAGTGACGCATTCTGGGCAATATGTTCTAAAGTGAAGTAACTGAAGTTACAGCTTAAAAGCTTAAAAAAAAACAGCTTAAAAAACACACACACACACATTCGATAGCTTATGAGAATAACATGCCTTGTGTGCTTAATGCAGGAAAATATTTTTTCACTTTTTTAGAAACAGCAAAAGAGTTGTCAACAAGCCATGTCAACTATCTAAACAATTTTTATGGAAACTGCTCTAGCTAGCTTAAAGTTCCACAACGTTTCCGGAGCACCGTACCCAAACTCAGTTCATGTTACAAGAAAAAACAGTAATAATGCCTCCTAATTTTGAATGAAATATAGGTATGAGTAATTTGATTTGGAAAGCAACAAATTTCCGCACATCATTTTAGCAAAATTACTATTTTCTTCAGCCATCAGGTTACACAAAACTATAGTAAACTTTATGATCTAGTTTACACAAAACCAAAGCCCCGATTTTAACAAATGTAGATAAATTTAAACAATTTTAAAAAATGTATCGTGGAGAAAATGAAAAGTGTAGATTTGTAAAGCCGGGATATTTCAATTTCACGAATTAGGCAGTTAAAGAAATATCTTCACCTTTCTTTGAGCCACCAGCCTTCACCCAAGTTTTACACGAATGTAGTGAAGCAGACAATGTGGCAACTCAAAATTGTGATGGTTTGAGATAATTATGACGGTAAAAGAAAAAGCAACACTAGGTTCCTTACCCTCGTTTTTTTCACATGGGTTCAGATGAGGCTTCAACTGTTGCCGACCTGAGGACAGGGGCGGATCCAGGAAAACTCCAAGGGGAGGGTCATGAATCGAAGTGGTGCCCCTACCTATACCCAAAATTAAAAACTCAACGGATTTCGTCCACTTAATTTTGGTGGTGCCCCCATTTTCAGTTTTTTTATTTTTTTATTATTTTTAGTCAGTATCTTAACTCTTACCCACAACCACATTTACCAATTGTAAGCAAGTATACATGAATGTGTTATGTGTATATATGTTGTGGACGCTGAGTAGTGAGTACTTACCAGGAACGTTATCAGGTAAGCGAATCGTTGTCAGTCCGACGAACTTGACCCTGGCGTCTAAAGGGTCTGTCCTTGACACTTCAGGCTTGTCAGGGGCACCAAAGTCCTTCCAGGGACACCACAAACCTGTCAGGGGCACCTACGGCCTTGTAGGGGCGCCACAGGCCCACCAGGAAGCAGGGGCACCACAGGCCTGCCAGGAAGCAGGGGCACCACAGGTCTAGCAAGTATACACGACAGGCCTGTCAGGGGCACAACGGGCCTGTTGGGCCCATGAGCACCCCTAGGGGCAGGGGCACCACAGTCCTTCCAGGGGCACCGCAGGCCTGTGAGGGGCACCAGCGGCCTAGCAGGGGCACCAGTCAACACAGGCCTGCCAGGGGGGCACCACAGACCTGCCAGGGGCACCAGAGGCCTGTCAGGAGCACCACCGACCTCGCAGGGGTAACTTGGGCCTGTCAGGGGCACCACGGGCCTGTCGAGAGGCACTTCAGGCTTTTCAGGGGCACCATAGTCCTCTCCGGGCGCAGGGGTAGCAGGGGCACCAGAGGCCTGCCAGGGGCACTACAGGCCTAGCAAGGGCACCACTGTTCTATCAGGGGCACCACGAGCCTGTCATAGCCAGGCATCTCAGGCTTGTCAAGGCCCAGGGGCACCACAGGTCTGTGAGGGGCACCAGCGACCTAGCAGGGGCACCAGTCAACATAGGTCTGCCAGGGGCGCCACAGACCTGCCAGGGGCACCACAGACCTGCCAGGGGCACCAGAGGCCTGCCAGGGGCACCACAGGCCTAACAAGGGCACCACGGGCCTGTCAGGGGCACCTCAGGCTTGTCAGGGTCCAGGGACACCACAGTCCTTCCAAGGGCACCGCAAGCCTGTCAGGGGCACCAGAGGCCTGCCAGGGGCACCACAGTCCTTCCAGGGGCATTACAAGCCTGTCAGGGGCACCAGAGGCCTAGCAAGGGCACCACAGGCCTGCCATGGACACCACAGGCCTGCCAGGGGCACCACCGGCCTTGCAGGGGCGCCTCAGGCCTGTCAGGGGCACCACGTGCCTGCCGGGGACACTTCAGGCTTGTCAGGGGCGTTACAGTCCTGTCAGGGCCCAGGGGCACCAGGCCCGTGGTGTCCCTGCTAGGCCTGTGGTGCCCCTGGCGGTCCTGTGGTGCCCCTGTCAGGACTGTGATACCCCTGATAGGCCGGTGGTGCCCCTGGCAGGTCTTTGGGCCCCCGGGCCTCAAGGGGGGGGCCATGACCCATGTGACCCCCCCCCCTTGGATCCGCCCCTGCCTGAGGAGCTATAGGGACTTGAGCTTTCCAAAACTCAATTTCTAAAGGCACTGAGCAGTGTTTTGCTTTCACACGAATGCGATAGTAAGTTATATGAAGTTGACAAAGCAAGCAAAGCAAAGCATGATGCCCCGCGCGTCCGCCCGCGACCACGCCCCGCGTCCGACTCCCGACCGCCGCGTGACCCGAGGCGCCCGGCGGTCACGTGACCTACCGGCCGGGACTGCAAACGGCCTTCACCACCATTCTTGTATGACGTCATATCCTACTGAGGTGCTGATTGGTCGGAATTAGATACCTGAAGGTAATTATCTGCCGTAGTTATTTTTGTTTCATTGTTTTGCGTGTTTTCTTATATGAAATGTAATTAAAAAATTTGTCATATTTTAATCACCATTAAAACATAACTGAATAGGTATAAAAGAGAACTCGATATATACTTTCCTTGTTTTTAAGAATTCCGGAATTAGATACCCGAGGGAGCAAAGAGGGAGCAAGTTGCCACGCTGATTTAATACCTCATAGTCGAAAGGTGGGCTACTAGAACCAAAAATTGCTGTGTTTGTAAATAAATAAGTGATTTGAGGGCAAAAAATGCCCGGATTTAAACTTCTAAAATTATTTTGAACATAAAATATTTCAGTTTGAGGGATGTTAAGGCCTCTAAGGGTAGGTACTTTTTAGGTATCAAATAAGTTCCTCTGCGAAAGTTCCGTCGTGAAAACGGCCATTATGGCATATATAGATAGGTTTGGCATTAGTATGATTGGGCCCAGATGCTAAAATCGCCTCCACGATCTCGTATGGATTTGAAAAATAAGATCATATAATGAATAAACATGTTTATTTTTATGGACTTGAGTGTGATTTTATCCCTGGAAAATACATGTTTTTGAAATAATCACTATGCGTGTAATCGTCGCTCTAAGATGTCAAGGGCATTATATGAAGAATTCTTTACTCTAAAAAAAATAATAGTGTCAAATATTGCATAGTAACATCCTCCCAGCGACCTATCCCTTTCACAACACTCGCCATTCACGGCACTAAAAGGTGGCGTGAATGGAACGGCCACCGACAGCGCAAACAGCTGATTATTTGCGTTTGTTCTGCCGCTCTCGCGGCAGCTTGTGCCACTGCCCATGTTAAAGCACTGCCAAAATGCCGTGGATAAACATCGACCGCATGCCGTGAATGAGATGGCGTGAATAGCTATCCACGGCATTGATAATATGCCGTTGCCGTGAATGGGCTCCATTCACGGCATTCTGCCTATTCACGGCATTGGTAAGATTGGGCCGTTCCTGGCCTCACCTCTAACCCAACCCCTACCTCCCCGTTTTCTGACCCGTTCCGGTCCGTCTCTCGCCGGCAGAACTCGCGGATGAACTCCACCGAGGAGGAGCCGGCCACGTCCCCGAGCTGCCGACGTCAGTTGTCCCTAATGACCCCTGCCGGCACCCAGCTGTCGGCACCGCGCCGGGTCAAGTCGGCCGTCGATCTCGTGTCGTTGGTGATGGCTGAGCAGCTGGGGGCGGCCGCACGCGGCGGCGGCGGCGCCCCGGCGGCGCCCGGGGCGTGCGGCGGCGGGGCGGGCCTGGGCGCCGAGCTGGGGGCGTCGGCCGGCGCCCCCGACCCCAGCGAGTCGGGCTGGTCGGCAGTGGTGCCCCCCGGCCCTCCGTGCGCCGCCCGGGCCAGTCATCTGTGGCAGACGGCGGCGCGGCGCGGCGGCGAGTGCCAGATTCAGGTGCCGGTCCAGGTCTCCGCCGACAGCTTCTGCTCGAGTCCCGGCAGCGAGCGAGCGCCCCCGACCAGCCGGGCCAGGATGGTCCGGGGTCAGTGGGTGACCCGGTCCGGCTCCAGAAGTATCTCCTCGCAGAATAGCTCCAAAGGAGCCGAGACGACTGTAGTGTGAGTCCGCGCGGCGAGTGGGTGTGCTTTGTGTATAGGAGTGTGGGCAACAGCTGATAAAAGTTCCTGTACGCTAGCGCTTAACTTGTGCTCTGCAGATGTGACATGCGTTTGTATGCTGGCTTGTAAATAACTAATGTCTTCTTTAGTTAAACCAAGGTCTTATCGGTAAAGAAATCAAAATATGGAAGGCCAATATAGGCCATAAATGGGCAAAACTAAAACATGTCGTCGGGTGTTCAAGGACGGTGTAAATCAAAAGGATTGCCGGTCGAAAGAAACACTTGTCCGAAAGCCGAAGGGGAAATGTGTGTAATGTGTCTGTGTGTAGAAAGAAAGCCCCCGTTATTGGTGTTGTCTTTTCTGTTGTATTGACTTATCCCAGCGGCTCATTGATAGCAGGTTTCACCTTGACTGATCAAACTAATTTCAATTGACACTCTAGCTTTCCAAAGATGTAGTATCCATGACGTCGTGTGTGCGATGTGCATAGGTGTTTTGTGATGTCTTTTATGTGTATTGCGTATCGTATGTGCTGCGTCAGCATCACCTATTACAACGTCCTATAGCTTTGCGTATTGCATTTGCATTTAAAAACATGTTTTTTCATCATAACTTCGTTGCACTGTCTCCATACAACAAACATTATGATGATAAATGCATTATTATTAGAATTATCGCGTAAAGAAAGATACGCAATCGGCGAGTTATGTGCGTTGATAACATAAAAGGTACTAGTCTAGCATAACATGTAAAAAAAGAAGCGCAAAGATCAAGTATATTCATTTATATCCTGGTATCGGTGAGAGTCGTGACTTGCAAACATGATGTCCTGTGAATGCCTGGCGCTTTGAATAAAACCGACAGTCTTTTTATCGGAGCAACTGCAATAACAATACAATGATGAAAGTATTGCTTATATCCCAAATGTAAAAAATGTAATAAACTATCAACCGTCATGCCTAAATGCAAGCGTATGTCGTCCATGGGTACGTAAATCTAGTTTCTCTCTCCCTCTCTCTCTCTCTCTCTCTCTCCCTCTCTCTCTCCCTCTCTCTCTCTCTCTCTCTCTCTCTCTCTCTCTCTCTCTCTCTCTCTCTCTCTCTCTCTCTCTCTCTCACTCTATGTCATTTTTCCAACATATACGAACCTTTTCTTATAACTGCAGTAGCCGCAAACACTTTCAGGTAAATGAAATAATAAGCAAAGAATGATACCATTTCGGAAGCTGTTTAGAGGAGGAGCACAGGACGCTTTCACAGGTCACCAGCGATACCCCTGGCGCCTGAGGGCAGCTGATCTGAGGTCGATACAGCACTGCTGCTTCGGTCGGTGTTCAACTCAACAATCCACCGGAGGCGAGAGACGGGGGAGGGCGCGGGCGGGCGCGGGCGCCATTGTGCCCAGCGTCCTCTTGGGCACGAACCGAGCGTGAGTTTAGACCGTCGAGATCGATAGACGGTGTGCGAGTGACCCCGCGGGCGGCGCAGGTGACACCGGATCACAGGGGCGGTCGTGAATAAAATACCGACTTCTCGGCACAATGTCTTGTAGCTGGTGAGTGGAAGGCCGTATAGTATGTTACAGTCGCTGTTAGTTGGTAAGTTTCTGACCGCAAAGACAAGGTGATTTCGTTCTAGGACTGACGTCCGACGAGGTACAAATTGGTAAAATACACCTTGGAAACACTCTCTAATGCATCACGGCAAAACTTGTGATCATATTCGAGCTGGTGTGATAAGCGCTAAGCAAGCAATTAGGAGAACATAGGAAAGGTTGTTTTTTAGCCAGCATGAAAATGAAGACTGAGCATCCTCGTAAAAATCTACCTCGTGTAATCCCAGTGAACTCTACCAGCCGCCGCAGCAAGCCATCGCTTGTAGATATAAAGACAGTACATGCAAGCGGCTTTTATGAAGCACATTAACTGCAGACAGCCCTACGAATATTATAAAATGCCCACACACCCTCCCCATTCTACGTTACCTACGAGTACATTCTACGCAATATAGCAACAGCTTGCCGCTATTGACTTTCTTATTAGGCACGTCTAATTAAACTGCCCAAGTAGCATACCACTTACCCTACCTGTGCATACTGGTGGGCACTTCAGGCGTTGGGTATACAATATTCAAGTGAGAAACGTTGTTAAAGGGACAGTATCATCGAAAAAAAAATCAATGTATGGAGCTGATTTTTTTTTTACTAGCATTTCTTGTTTTTCTGAATCAGAAAAACATAGTTTGAGGACCGAACTCGGTGAAAAATATTGCAACCACATTTCATTTTCATGATTCATTTTCATGAGCGAACCACCACTATACAAGCATGGCCGCCAGTTTGGAAGCATGCAAAATTACTACAGAACTGGCGCAGATAATACATTATTGACGCTACGCTTACGCGGTCGTTCTTCTGATTGAGTTGTCCTTACGGAGAGGTAGCCTTAGGTATTTGTAGCGTGTCGCACTCACTTGTATTTGCTTCCCGATCAAGATAACACTTCAGTACAGGTGCCGCACTCTCTGCGCTCGGCTCCGATCACACACTGCCCTGCGACCGGTCAGCGACCTCCGCCGGCAGGCAGATAGGCCCGCCCTCTACGATCGAACACCGAAAGTTGCAGTTCTTACTCTTAACACTAGTTGAACGCCTACATATTGCCTATAAAAATATCACGTGACAATTGGAGGGAGTGACAATTGGACGTGACAATTGACAATGGGAGAAAATATCACGTGACAATCACGTGATAAACGTCATACATTGGAGGGAGATTGTGATTCAAGCTGGAGGAATTCCTTTGTTGAGCCGCTAGAATCCGAAGGAAACAGCGGAAATTGCCTACGACTATTTAATGAATTTAACGGTGATGAATAAGTGCGAAAAACGTTTTGGCTTTATAAAATTTGATGAAATGACCAGGGTAAAAGTTTTATTACTGGCGGTCAATTCAAAACGGCGCAAACATTTAAAAAGTGAAGATAGTGAAGCACGATTCAGCACGATTCAAAGTGTGGTACACCTTTCGTACTTTGAGCGGCGATAGCGGGATAACGGTGTGGAGCTTCGAGGATCGGTCTTCAGTTCCCGGACCAGAAAGGTGGGGCCTATGCAATGTCAAATTTCATCAAAATGGTGATACTGTCCCTTTTTAATTACAAGTCTGAACGAACGTCATGCATTATTCCTAGCCATATAAACTTGAACTGTCGCGCAATAGTGTGTGAAGAATGGCCGAGGCGACCTTATGTAACCAGCCAGGAAGACACCACACCTCGCTCGGTCCAAATTGGACTAGCTGGGACGCAAATTAAACGAAAAATGGCTGGCGGGACTTGGGGTCTTTTGTCAAGCCCACATCGTGCGGGGAGAAATAGCGGTGTCAGCAGACTCGGCTAATTAATTTGGGATGCGGTAAGAAATAAAGGATGCATATGGCATAATGTAATTAAGGTGATGGTCGTCCCGCAATTAAGGTATTTGTTATGAGCTGGGGCACTGAAAACCTAGAGACTTTTGGTAAGTAAAAAAGAAAAAAATGACTGATGCCACACATCTGCTAAATATGGAACATTTCTTGTATCTTCTTCAAAGTTAGACATTCACTTTTTGCTGCAGAAATCACTTCGAGTCGGCCACTTCTGAGCCATAATTAGCTGAATGACGGTGTTGTTTGGTGGTGCGGTCTGAGACATTGATGATCACCTGCCATTCGGCGTTCTCTGAGGCACGCAAACTAATTCCAGAGGAGACACGCCACACTGCGGCACCGCAGTCCGACCTCTCAAACGCCACGGGCGGAACCAGGGAACGGGTGCAGGGGTGCAAGCTGACATCACACATGTGGATTCGCTTTTTTCTAGTGGATGCTAATGTGGATTACTTCTCGCTTTTATATGGGTATATGGCTAAATGACATCGAATATTGATTTGCACCCATGGCCAGATAATGCTGGCGCCGCCACTGATGTGCGTTTTTGTCCCGGCCCGAAATTGGAGAGTGAACGGCAGTTGGTTTATGACTGTGGCCGAGTTAGGAGCCCGGCAAGTTGTTGGAACCAAACTGCTACCACCGCTGCACCTTCTAAAACTATAACGAGGCCTACTAGGCATGGCATCCTCCAAAGTTACCCCGGCTGTGGAGGCGCCGGCAGTCTCGGAGGACGACCGTCAGGGTGAGGAGAGGACGCCGTCCTCCTCAACTCCTCTGGCCTCTCTTCCGGAGAGTGTGGAGTTCGGCGTGCCGCTGCAGCGCGCCCTGCGCCCCCTGCAGCGAGTGAACAAGCTGCTCAGTCTGCGCACGGTCACAGCTCAGATGCAGATGGCGCTGGCGGTCTCCAGCCAGGAGCTCCAGCGGCAGGAGGTGCTGCACAGCTACGTCGGAGGAGCCGATGACGGTAGCGACGATGAGGCCGCCGGCGGCTCGTCGCGTCCGCGCGGCCTCCAGAAGTCACCGAGCCGGACTGCAGTCAGTTACTGGCCCCCTCAGAGCTGGAGCCTCCTCGAACCTCAGAAAGACGAGGAGGAGCCGACGGCGGGGGCTAGGAGCCGACGGGCGCGCCCCACCGCCCCCACCTCGGCGAAGCAGCGCCGGCAGCGGCGCCCGCGGCCCGACGAGGTGCAGGTGGGGTTCACGGACAAGAACCGGGACGTGGCCGTGACGGACGGGCACGACATCAAGCTGTCGCTGCGCCAGTGTCGCCAGGTGGAGGCCTCTGTGGTTGACATTCGGGCCACCTGGTGGACGTACGTCTCTGAGGCCGAGAAGGCCGCACGGCGCGGTCAGCACCGCTACGCCTGTCAGCTCTTCGACAAGGTGAGCACGCCCGAAACACTGTGTTACTTTTTATTCTTTGTGAATTAACTGGAGCGAATTTTAAGTCATATATTTCCACATAAGTGAACTTGGTAAGAAAAGCAACTACGAATTCAGGTAGGTACACCTCTTTGCCCGCTACGTATTTCATAGTTATTCTCCCAACACAACGCAGCAGCTTATTT